CCAGTTCTTCAATTTGAGTAATTATCTTTAGCTCCCTCCATTCGAATAGGCAACAATGAATTGGTCACATAAGAGCCCATTGGGCCTTACGAAACCCAAAAATCCACGGGCCATGTTGAGCCCTACTTGTCGCTTTCTCTGACCAGTGAGTCAGTGACCAAGAAAGCTTTCTTCAATATTCTAATTTTTGTGTAGGTGTGTTTTCTCCGTGTGTTCCTGCTCTAGATTACGTCTCTACCTCTCTCTTCCTCTTGCTTGGTGAAGAAGAAGAAGAGGCCCTTGTGATTGTTTTCTTCTTCTAATTGAATTTGTGTCGAATCCAAGTTTTCTTTTTTGGGTTTTCTTCTCTTCTCAACCCTAAATCCCGGAGACAATTTCTCTATTTTGTTTCGGATCTTACAAAATCTGGGCGTTTCGAATAATGCCACCGTTTATCTCTGGCTCCAGAGCCGTATTCTCCTTGATTTCATGTCGAAACGCGATCAAGAGCCGATCGAGGATTGGTGGTCGTGGAAGCTTTATATCTGATCAATTTCGTCGATTTGGTTCTCTTTCCGGCGTCGTCGAGAGAGGAAGCTCTTCTCCTGGGTTAATCTCCAATGATGAAGACAGAATAAGAGTCTTGTTAGGGAGATTGCCCTGCACTACTACTGGAAGCGTGATTCAGAGACGGCATTTTCTGGGTTGCGGAGATGGAGAAGAAGGTAGTGGTGGTGACTTGTCTAAGATCTACGAAGAGCGTCGTGTCTTGGGGTAATTCTATATACTCTATACATGTTTCCTTCTTATAATAGCTTTCTTTGAGAAATGGTTCAATCAAATTATTAAACTTGCTGTTTTGTGGATCCAACAGTGAAAGAATGGTTCAATGACTGAGCAGGAATGAGAATTGCCTTTGTGTTTTGTCTTGTCTTGAACTAATTTTCCCAAAATGTTGATTGCTAAGATCATAATCTGAAGAATTTGATTGGTTTTAGGAAACATGTATTGATTATGCAGTGTATCAACATAGCTGTATGTATGTGAGGAACGTTGATCCCCATTGTTTGTTTACTACATTTGGATGTATAGTTCGTTTCTAAGAACAATCAATCATCATTTGAGGTTCATATTCTCATCAAAGAGTATGATATTAGTTGTGTTTTTGTTTTTATTATTACAGGTATTCTCCGGAGCAATTGTTTAGTGTAGTTGCAGCTGTAGACTTGTACCATGGGTTTGTTCCTTGGTGTCAACGCTCTGAGGTTCTTAAAGAATATCCAGACGGGTCGTTCGATGCGGAATTGGAGATTGGTTTCAAGTTTCTTGTTGAGAGTTACACTTCCCATGTAGAATTCGAAAGGCCGAAATGGATAAAGGTAAGGACTTGTTTTTTGTTTGTCAGCTTTCTCGAGTGAGTGATGGATTTTAGTTACGACATGATTTGAATCCGTACTTTTCAGACAACAGCGAGGGACACCGGCTTATTTGACCATTTGATAAACCTCTGGCAATTTAAGCCTGGTCCCGTTCCAGGAAGCTGCGATCTTTATTTCCATGTGGATTTCAAATTCAACTCACCTCTTTATCGCCAGGTATAAACTACTTCACGAAACCTCTGCACTTATAGGTGTCAAATTGTTGGTGTGATTCTCTTGTTCCTCAGAAAGATTGAAACTTGGAAGTTGTTAATAATCAAAGAAATCTGCAAGAACATTGTTGTCATTTCTTCTTTCTTAAAAGGTTACAAACTTAGAAATTTGTGAATAATTTAAGATGTCTACAAGAATATTATGGTTCCTTTCTACTCAGAAGATTAAAATCTGGGAAATTTCGCTAAAAGAATCGAAGAACTCTACGAGAAAAATGATGATTTCTTTGTTCCTCGGAAGGTGAATTTTGGTTAATGCAAAATATTGAAAGTGTGTTTCTTTTTCTTGTTTTGTTCAGGTGGCTTCGATGTTCTTTAAGGAGGTAGCAACAAGTCTTGTGGGGGCATTTAGTGACCGATGCCGAATAGTGTATGGTCCAGGAGTTCGAGTAGATGAAAACGCGTATGAGCAAAGAGCTTGAGACATATATAGAGACACATATAATGAAAGTAACACATCAGGTTAGTTTTCATCTTGTTTGGCTCGAGAGCGATTTACTACTCATAGCTTTGTTTCATTTTTCATATATGAATGCTTTTTTACATGAGAAGATTAACACATCAGATGTTTGTTTTAATGTAAAAGCTGAAAATAAACACATCCATTTCTCTTTTAATGTCTTTTTCATATATTCAAAAAGCTCATTTTCATAGTCTAATTCCGATTCCTTGAAAGAAAAAAAAAATCAAATGTTAAATAGAGTTAAGTATAGAGATTGATGATGCCTTTTGTCGGAAGGTGAAGAAAAGTGGAGACGCGGTTTTGCGTTTTGCTTCCATCATTCTCCCAAATGACCAAATCCAAAAACATCTCTTTCTTAAGTCAAACTCTCAAGGGGAGTTCAATGAATTACAAGTTGATCCATTAAGTGTATAGGGTCCTAGAGTATATTGACTTGACTATTATCACACGGTTTCTATTTACTTAGTTCTTGAGCTTAGTCTATACAACTTGTTCTGATTTTTGAATTGGAATTTCCATTCCCTAAAATCATAGTATTTTAATGTACCACAACAGAAAGAAACGAACCATTTTTTATACATAAACTCAAAATGACTCGCTAATACTTTCATTTTCATTTTCATTTTCTATAAGACAATGAAGAAACATAGGCAAAAGAAAATTATGGGTTCGGTTTGGTTTGGTCTTCAGTTAAGTCAAACTAAGAAATAACTTTGGTCCTCTGATTACTTATTAG